GCTTATTAGTTCTAGGAGTTTGTTGATTCTTTTAAATTTCCTTCATAGACAATAATGTCATCTGCAGTTTTATTCCTTCCTTCCCAATCTGTGTATCTATTTCCTTTTCTTGTTCTTATTGCATTAGCAAGGACTTCTAGTACAATGTTGAACAGGAGTGGTGAAAGGCACCATCCTTGCCTTATTCCTCTTAGGGGGAAAGCATCTAGCTTTTCACAATTAAGTATGATGGTAGCTGTAGGTTTTTTGTAGATGTCCTTTATCAAGTTGAGGAAGTTCCCCTCAATTCCTGGTTTACTGAGTTTTTATCATGAATGGGTTTTGGATTTTGTCAAATGCTTTTTCTGTATCTGTTGATATGTTCATATAATTTTTCTTCTTTAGCATGTTGCAATGGATTGCATTAATTGATTTTCAAATGTTGAACTAGCTTTGCATCCTGGAGTAAATCTCATTTGGTTATGGTGTATAATTCTTTGTGTACCTTGTTGGATTTGATTTGCTAATATTTCGTTGAGTATTTTGCATCTACGTTTAGGAGAGATACTGGTTTGTAGCTTTCCTTTCTTATAGTGTATTTATCTGGTTTTGATATTAGGATAATCCTGCCCTCTACTTTCAAGAAGAGATTAGAGAGAATTGGTGTCAATTTCTTCTTCAAATATATGGTAAAATTCACCAATGAACCCATCTGGGCCTGGTGCTATTTTGGAACAATATTAATTATTGATTCATTTTCTTTAATACATATAGGCCTATTCAGATTATCTAGTTCTCCTTGTGAGAATTCTGGTAGATTGTGTCTTTCAAGTAACCAGTTCATTTCATCTAGATTATCAAATTTGTGGGTATAGAATTATCTATAATATTCCTTTATTATTCTTTTAATATCCATGGAGTCAATAGTGATGGCTCCTCTTTAATTTCTGTTAAGAGTAATGTGTGTCTTCTTTTTTTTTCTTGGTTAGATTGGCTGGAGGCTTACTGATTTTATAGATCTTTTGAAAGAAGCAGCTTTTGGTTTTATTGATTTTCTGTTTTTTCTATTCATTGATTTCTGCCCTAATTCTTATTATTTCTTTCCTTTGCTTACTTTGGATTTTTTTCTAGTTTCCTAAGGTGAAAGCTTATTTTTTTTAGATCTTTCTTCTTTTCTAATATATATTCAGTGTTCCTAAGTACTGCTTTTCCTGCATCTCACAAACTTTGATAAATTGTATCCTATTGTTTTATATATATGTGTATATATTTTTATATATAATTTATATCTATTTAATTATATACATATATACATTATCTAATATATAAAAATATATTTAAGTAGGCTCCATGCCCAGCGTGGAGCCCAACACCAGGCTTGAAGTCACAACCCTGTGATCAAGAGTCAGGTGCTTAACTGACTGAGCCACCCAGGCACCCCTCATTTAGTTTTAAAATATTTTTAAAATTTCTCTTGACCTGTGTGTTACTTAGAACTATGTTGTTTAATTTTCAAATATTTCGGACGTGCCCGGCTAGCTCAGTCGGTAGAGCATGAGACTCTTAATTTTCAAATATTTCGGGACTTTTGGTTATATTATTGGATTCCAATTTAATCCCATTGTGGTCTGAGAGCATACATTGTATGACTTCAACTTTTAAAAATTTAAGGTGTGTTTTATGTCCCAGAATGTGGTCTATCTTGGTGAATGTTCCATGTAAATTCAAGGAGAATGTATAGATCCAGTTGACGGATGATGCTAAATTATGTAAAATGATGTGATGTCACTACTGATTTTCTATGTGCTGAATTTGTCAGTTGCTGAGTCTTCAACTGATCAAGTTGAAGACTCCAACTGTAATAGTGCATGTTTCTCCTTGCAGTTTCATAAATGTTTCCCTCATATACTTTTATGCTTTATTGTTAGGCCACACACATTAAGGATTATTCTTCTTGGGGAACTGACTCCTTTATTATCATGTAATTCTCCTTTTTCCCTGATAATTTTCCTTGCTCTCAAGATGGCTCTGTCTGAAATTAGTATCTATTCATTGATTTCCATTACTGTTAGCCTGGCAGGGGGAGTGGGAGAGGGAGAAGCAGATGTATATAGACAAGATGTAGTTGGGTCTTATTTTTTTTAATCGTCTCTGGCAATTTCTGTCTTTTAACTGGTGTATTTATTTTTAAATTTTTTTTTTTTGAAGTGTAATCGCCATTTATTTTTTTTCTGGAGAACAGCTTTTCTTCAGTCCTTAAGGACTTAGCTCCTTACATGGGCTTTGGTGGAGGTCGTGGGGCAGCACCTGCAGGTCTAAATCGGGGTGGGGGTGTTCGGTCCTTCCGTGCTTCACGAGAGCGATTCCTGACTACCTTGCTGTGAATGGCACAACTCACACAATAATGTAGTTTCACATACAGCTTGGGAAGCACATAGGCGTCGAAGACGCTCGCTTCGGAAATGTCCCTGACGGCGGCAGCCTCTACTATGTTCCATATAACTTCTTAATGGCCTTATCCTTGGGCACACAACGGGCGCAGTTCGTGCAGCGAATAGGCTGCACGTGGCCGCGGCCCTTTTTGGCACGACCATTATTCCTTCTTTTCTTGGTCATCTTGGTAGCGAGACCCGAGACAGTATTTTTAAATTTTTTTAAAAAAGATTGTGAGAGTGAGCGAGAGAGTGGACAAGTTGGGGGAGGGGCAGAGGGAGAGGGAGAAGTAGGTTCCCCGTTGAGAGGGAGCCCGCTGTGGGGCTCAATCCCAGGACCCTGGGATCATGACCTGAGGCAAAGGCAGATGCTTAACCGACTGAGCCACCCAGGCGCCCTTAACTGGTGTATTTAGACCATTCATACTTAAACTGATTATTGGAAAAGTTAGATTACTATCTAACATATTTGTTACTGTTTTCCATTTGTTGCCCTTCTTCATTGTTTCTATTTTTGGTATTCTATTTTCCTGCCTTTTATGGTTTTAATTGGGCATTTTATGATTATATTTTCTCTCCTTTATTAGCCCATCAGTTACTTTAATTTTAGTGGTTGCCCTAGTTCTTGTGAAATACATTTACAACTAATCCAAACCCACTTTTAAATAACACTATACTTCTTCACTAGTACAAGAGCCTTATAACAGAGTATTTCCAATTCTTCCCTCCCATCTTTGATAACATTACTGTCATTTATAAGCTATAATAACCAAATACATTATTATTATTATTTTGAACAAACTGTTACCTGTTAGACCAATGTAGCATAAAAACTAAAATTTGGATTTGAATTTGAATCACATGGAATCTACAGATCATATTTAAATCCTTACAATGTTGAGTCTTCTCATGAACATGTTACCTTTCTACATTTGGGTCTTCTTGTGTCTTTCAGAAATTTAATGACTTTCTCTATAGTTATATATTTTTAGATTTATTCCTAGGATCATAGAATTGTTGACTCCTATTACATGACGTATGCAATTACATGAGGCAATGTTATGGTTTTTTGCTTAAACCAGTTTGTTTCCTTGCAACTCAAGGAGTCCTGACTAACACAGGTAGAATGTCAGGAAATGATGGAGAGCTCAAGAGACACCCCATTTTGAAGGGGACAACTAGCATACCTTAAGTGAATTGGACAAGGGGGCGATTTTGAAAAATTAAAAGCAGAAAACTGACATATTATGCCTGTTTGTGTGCAGAGAGAAAGGAACCATTCATAAGGAAAAGGCTTGAAGAGCAAGGCAAGAGGAAATGGACTTGAGCCCAGGTATAGCTGAGTACTCAGCTTTATCCATGTGCCTGAGTGTAGTGTCGAAGAGCAGAAGAGTGTGGTGTGGGGTAGTGGCTAATGGCTGGGTGCAGTGTAAGGTAGAAATAACCAGGTGAGCTTCGATCCATATTGCCTAAGTAGAAATCCTGACTCAGCTTAACTGTGTAACCATTTAATCTTTCTGTGTCTGTTTCCTTATCTGTCTGAAGCTAATAAAAAATAAAATAAAAAGTGAGGATAATATTGATACCTAACTCACTGGTTAGGAAGGAAGTTAATATCCAATAAAGTACTTATAACAGTGCCTGACACAGAAAGCTCATAGAAATGAAGAAGCACTGTTCCCCTAGATGGATCTTCACAAGCAACTTCATTCCAATTTCTGATTTATGTGAGTCTAAACATCCACATAGTTCTCTCAAAATTCCTATGGTCAATATCTTCTCTTTTATAATAGATTATCCAGATAACTCCAACATGCTTTCTCTTACATTCAGCAGCACCCCAGCACAGGCAGAGACGTCCCTCTTCTCAGCCTGTGTCTGCCTGCTGGCTGGTACATACACACACACATGCACACACACACACACTCTCTGTCTCCTCTTTTGGGGGTGCCTTCTAAAATACCCCTAATTTGCTATAAAGTGAGCTATAAAAAAATTATTAACAATGAAGAAAAATCACAGCTAAGTATCAGATACTCCAAAGAAAACGAGATTTAAAATAAATTTTAGAAAGCAGTTATTTTGGGAAGTGACTGGGAAAGGGGACATATATAACATCTCATCTCTTTTAAAAAAATCTGAAGCAAATATAACTACTGAGATGTGGTAAATTTGGATGGTGGTTATACTGTGTTTATTATTTTATTCTCTACACTTTTCCATTTGCTTGAAACATTTGAAATCATGAAAAAATGTAAGTAGTTACTGTGGTAGAGAAGACAGGATAACATGGATGTGGTTAGAGTACAGTAATTATTGTGAAAATAAGACTCACAGACTTTTTCACTTTAAAAATCTCTTTGAAAAATGCAGGAAAACACACACACACACGGACTGCTGCAAAAAGGATTTTTTTTTTTTTTTTGCAAAAAGGATTTTTAAAAACAACTGTGAGGACTGTAAAGATTTATATACAGAGTGAATAGTAATGAAAAAATTCAACAAGTAAACATTTCACTGAAATTAGTTAATGTGTATTTATGTATATATTTATTTATTAACAGTTGGAATAAAAGGATACTAATTTTCAAATTTTCAGAGTTTATTCATTTATAAGAAAAAATACAGAATGATTTTAACCAAGTACCCAATTCCTACTTATTTTCTTTCTTAGTGGGGAAAAAAAAGTATATGAAACACAATTGTCATGGCCTGTATTGATTAATCTTACAAGTGATGTTGACAAAACTATAAAAACCTAAACTTTCGAATGCAGCAATGTTGCCACCGTGTGTGTATATGTACATCAGTATAAATTAAGTCAGTCTATATCCACAGAACCCCTTTTCACCCTTTCCCATTGTCATTCGGCTTTCTGAACCCCCTTGCTATTCCCCTGTGCTGTCAGGTCCTCTGCTTTCCCATCCCTATGCTAATGCACCAAGGTGCACCTAGATTCCAAGGGCGCGGGCTATCTGGCACTTGAGCTCAACTCCTACCAAGGAGAGGGGACGCTGCGTGTCCTTCCAGCCTCCATTCACTCCTTTACTTGTACCCCCATTAGGCCTGCTTTGCGTCCTTACTAAGATTCCTAAGAGAGCGCACGGACTCTGCACTAAGATGAAGTCAGGAAATCAGTCTGGGCACTTCCTCGCCCCCTAGTGGTGCAAAAGGAACATGAGCAGGCTGGAGGCGGTGGGCCCTGTCAGGGTGGGGCACTAAATGCACAGCCCAAGTGAAAAAGGAGGAGATGGAGAAGCAGTGATTCTGTGCACTAGAACAGACTGGGCAGAGGCTGCAGGCATTGCCTCTGATCCCTCAGCAGCTGCAGGTCTGATGAGGATCTTCAGGTCAACGTGCTCATGATCAGTGGGCCCAAGGGAGCAATGGTGGAGGTTGGGGAACAGCACATTCCACAAGTGAAAGTCTTGACTGGGCCACACAAATTTTTTTTAATTGTAAAAATAACAACATTATAGAAAATGTTTATAATAGGAATAAGAAATCATAGAAATGTACTGCTGCGACAGTGTTTTCATGGCCTCTTCCTTCACTGACTTGACTGAGACAACCTAAGTGTCTGATCTTTTTACTTAACATTATCTCAAAGAGTAACAATTAGTTATGATCAGGAAGGAAGCAGGGGCACTTAAAGTGAGCATTTCAGCGTCCCAGGTAAGGAGGCTCCTTTGGTAGTGCAGATGGTAGAGGCTTAGCTTGTATCTCTCTAGGCCAGAGCCCTGGGCTTGGCTAATCTGGGCTGTATGGTGACCCTGTCCCCAAGAGGATTCTGCAGACAGAAGATGCCCACCCTGTCCCTGTAAAAACAGCACAAGAAGGCAGGGCTGGTGTACCTCCAACCAGGTCCCCAAGGGAGCATGATAAAGGGACTGAAAGACGTCGTTTAGGGACCAAATTCTACTCAGACCCCTTCTCAGCCTGTCTTCCCCCACGTTTCTGTGTCCACCAGACTAGAAACCTTCTGAAAGAAACGTCTCAGACTTCTCCATTGCCCTTGCAACCGAGGACCAGGTAAAAGAATTAAATAATTGTCAAAGAGATCCTCATCTAAAACAGCTGCTGTCTACTGCTGCCCCAGCCTCTGGACTGCACTACTGCTGCTGCTCCTGCTTTTTTTTTTTTTTTTTCAAGATTTTATTTATTTATTTGACAGAAAGAGACACAGCGAGACAGGGAACACAAGCAGGGGGAGTGGGAGAGGGAGAAGCAGGCTTCCCGCGGAGCCGGGAGCCCAATGCAGGGCTTGATCCCAGGACCCTGGGATCATGACCTGAGCCGAAGGCAGACGCTTAATGACTGAGCCACCCAGGCGCCCCTGCATCATTGGTTCTGAACACGAAACCACCAAGGGGCAGTCTGGCCCAACAGTGAGCCATTTCTTCCTAGGCAAAGTGGGTCACATGTGTAAAGACCCTCTACCAGAGCCACTTGCCCACCTCCCGGTCCTCAGGGGCTGTCCCCTCATGGCTTCAGCTGAGCCATCAAGTCTTTGAGAAGATGCTATTGGGCCGCAAATGGATGGGAGGAGGTGGGTCGAAGTTGCTGGCATATTGGGGAATGGACCAGGGCCTCTTGGGACCAAATCCTTCAAATGCAACACCTACCACAGTGTCAAGACCACAATGTATATTCAATATTATTAAAATAACGGTTGTACAAAACTGAACTAACAAGAAACCCAAAGCAGAAGAAAAGCTCTAGGGGAAGGAAGTGTGTGAGTATGCATGGGGGAGGGCTGCTCTGTAACTAGGTTGGGTCTGGAGCCCTTGCCACTCTCCAGAACTTCCTGGGGCTACTATAATGCCTTCTTCCATACACAGAAGCCTTGGAGGCCTAAGTGACCTCTGCACTTGGAGGGAAGGGAAGTGAGCAGACTGAGCATGGGGGTATGTGGTTAGACTAAGTGTCGGGGGTGAGAGAGGCGTCACACAGCTCAGAGGCTGCACAGGGTTTCATTTCCAGCTGTCAACTTATGAGATTCCTCCAGGGGCCGACACTGATCCCAGCCTGGCTGGGCTGCTGCGCCCTGTCGCTCTCGGGAGCAGAAGGCCAGTGCAGGCAGCTCCCTACCCCAGGGCCGGTCACATTTCTCTTACACAGGTAATCCATGTTCGTTACGGAAAAATGCCACATCACTCTTTATTGGATGCTAGTGCCAACACTGGCCCCCTTCTCTCTGTGCACAGGGGCACGTGGGCAAGGGGCTCCATCCCCCGGCCGGGATACAGTGGAAGCCTGGCCCCACTCCCAATCTCCCAGGGCCAGCACCCTCCTCAGTGCCTGGGGCTGCTTGCTCAGGTTTGTTCAAACTCCTGTTCACAGTAGCCTACACTGAGGGGCTGGGCCTGGACACCTCGCCTGCAAGAGGACATGAAGAAACAGGGCAAGATGAGCCACTCAGACAGGGGTCAGTCCAAGGCCCCGCAATACCTCTGCCACAACCAACAGTCTCCCCTTCCCCTATCTCAGTGCATCTTGAACGGCCACTGTACACCAGAATTGCTCAGGGATCTCATTTCCAGAGATTCTTACTTGGCCTGGGCTCACGTGTTGGCAAGAATCTGCATTTTGAACAGGCGCCCCAGGTGATTCTGACACAGGGACATCCAGAAATTTGGGGGGACACCTATTTCTAACCTGCCTGTCTCTGTACCCGAGTCCCAAATAATGCAGTACCTTTAGAAAAGAGCTGATGCCTAAGGGATGCCTAGTGCTCCTGGCCCACCGAGCCCCCCTATAATGGCTCAAATGCTATAAATGCAGTGGCGGTGGGGGACCAATGTGCTGTCCTGTTCACGCACAGGGTGTGGACATGAAATCCTGTTTAGCCTCACAAGTTCCAGGATGTGACCAGTCTCTACAGGGGACCCCTGGGCATGCCTTCTTTATTATTCAAACGAGCAATGTGCGTAGAGATGGTAAGGAACTAGCTCAAAGTCGCCCAGTGAATTACACACAGTAGAGGCCTAGACCTTGCCACGGCTGGGTCTCAGCTCTACGCTAGGCTGAGTCCTCCAGGTCCTCAAGACTTAGTCAATGAATAAATCAGGGAAATGACCATCTTATGCAGGCCCATCCCCAACAGTGGCACGGGTGCCATGAGAGCCCATAAAGGCATGGCCATGGCTAAGAGCATAGACTTTGAAGTTGGCTTGGATCAATTTCTGGTTCTGAGTGATTTGCGGCTTTACATCAACTTCTCTGTGCCTCAGCTGCCTATCTCTAGAGGGAGGATAAAACTGCCTACCTTCCGGAGTTACGGTTAAGATTCAATGAAATAATGCCCATAAAGGGCTCAGCGCAGTGCTTGCCACAAAGTAAGCCTCTGTAAGCATTCGCTGTTGTTGTTCCTGTAAGTCCTCCATCTGCCCACCCACTGTGGGAAGGCCCCAACACGGCCTGCTTGCTTACCTTAGGAGCTCACAGCGGAATTGTGTCAAACGTTTAAAGGCAAAGTCCAAGCTAGTCACCAACTTGTTGCTCCACAGCCTCTCAGCAACAGCCCCTGCCCTGGGCCTAGAGGGAAGGGTCATGCACCAGGTTGGCTCCCTTCAAGGGAGCTGGACACTCACAGGCTGCTGCCTCTTATTTAGGGCACCCTGCACTCAGGGCCAAGGTCATTTAGACGACAACCTGGCTGGGGGGCTCCTGGGGACTTCTAGGGCTCAGCTCCATCTCCATTAAGAGGTGGATCGTGATCCCACTCCCGTCCTCTCCCAGAGATATGGAACCAGAGTAAGTTGTAAAGGGATCATGAACTGTTTTTGACAGTAGCAGCAGGTGCTCTCAAAATGTACAGCTCCTTCTCTCTCAGGCCTGGAAGGAGGGTACTTGTCTGGGGGTGACTAGACAGGAGCAAGTCTATAAGGAAGAACCCGTGCCCACAAGCTCAACCACCCACATCCTCAGGAAGCCCTTACCAGAGTCTGGGGGCCAGATTGGTGCTGTCTACGTACTCCCCCCACATACAGGCCTCTCCACCAATCACAAGAGCCTTCTGCTGAGGGCTACCTAAGGGGAAACAAGGACCAACAGGCCGCTGCTGGCGGGGGTGGGGGGTAACCCTAGGGTTTCCCCCCAACCACCTTCCTAACGTAGGCCCCTCTCCAGATAGCTCATATCTCATCTCACCTGAAAGGTCTAGCCCAGACCCTCTTGTCTCCCGCTCTGTGCACCAGCCCAGCCTCCTCTGGTCAGCAAGGAGAGCTCCCTGCTTTCACCTTTGAATTCCAGGGGCTCCACCATGTAGATCTCTCTCCAGTCAGGGCCATAAGTTATATGATTCAGGTACCAGGGGGCAGAGAGCAGGACGCGGAAGCCAGCTCCGGTGATCAGCTCCATCTCCTTCATATAATGTACTGGCGCCTCTTCCCGCCATACCTGAATGATTGTATCTGGCCGAACCTGTCAGAAAATTAATGGCACATAGCTGAGATTTCTGGCCCACATGCTTATGCAAGCAACCCAGGCCAAGGGATATGTGCCCACTCTGCTCTCAGGCAGCTAACCATTTCTCTGTGACTCCTAACCCCTGGGCGCCTGGCACAGAACAGAGGCCAAGGACTCTATAGGACCTAGGAGTCCTCCCTGCTGCTTCCACCCCCAGTCCTTCTGCAGCCTCCTTGTCGGGAAAAAGACAGTAATACTGGCTATGAGCTAAGGCAGACAAGTGGGGCCCAGGAGACTCATCAAGAGCTACCATGTCCAAGAATCTCCAGATGTTTCTGAGGATGAGACAAGGTTCCTGCAGAGCCCCTGCATTTGGCAAGAGGCTGGGACCTAACTGATCAACAATGACAGAGAAAGGAGTCCTGCTCCCAAACCTGGAAGACCCCTAGTCTATGACTCAGAAAGGAAAAGCCAACCCAGCATGCCAGTCTCAGGAATCCTAAGTAACGTGGCAGCAGAAATAACTCTTGATCAGTTTGTGGTGAGGGAAGAGTGACAGATGTTCTGACACTCACACCCAGGGCTTAGACCTCTGTGACCTTTCTGGAGGGGAAAGGAGAGATGGCCCCTCAGTGCTCTGAATATTAAAGCCTAATCCAAACCCAGGGAGGACCAGTCTGTGCAGAGGCAGAGAAGGGCTGAGAGACCAGAGGGAAGCACTGTAGGTGGCTCCTTCTCTCTCTGCCCCTGGCTCACCTTTACTTTATTATCAAACACCTCCTGCCACACCACATAGCCCTTGCCATAGGCAGAGACGATGTTCAGCAGCCTGGAGAGTAAAGAAAGGGTCTGCTCAGCTCAAATAGGTTCTAGGCTGTTGGTGCCAGTGCTCAAGGTATTGAGGCTGCCTAGGGGCTCATTCCTGATTGAGCAGTGTCTTCCCCAGTTGGGAACTGACTACCCCAAAGTTGAAAAGATAGGACAAAGTACCCCTTCAAGGGCCCAGAGAGTGGTCAAGCAGGGCCTGGCCCTGGTATGGAAAGGGAGGACTGCACAGGAGGTAACCCCAAGATACCCTGCCCACCCTCTTTCCTTCCTCACGTCTGTATGTAGAAAGACTCCAGCTCCTTGAAGTCATTACCAAAGCCTTGCTTCTTCATAAAGGCCTGGATATCTGGGTTGGACTTCCTGAATCCCAAGAGAAAATGCAGATTAATTCTTTCAACATCCTCAAAGCCCAAAGCTTGGGGATTAGTCACCTGGCCTCCCACAACTTCTTTTTTCACTTGAAAAACCAGTCAACTTCGGATCTCAGAGGCCCCAAATATGGCAGGTGCGGCTGAACAAAGCTGTGTGAGGGGGGGCCACTGACATAGGCTGAGCAAGGAGGAGTTTCGACCCCAAGAGCTTTCAATTTAAACTCTCAACAAGAACACGTATTAACCTGTCTAGTCTATAGCATGTGGCTCTGAGGTCTTGGTCTGGGGCTCTGGCACACTGGATTCTGGCTTCCGTGTTTAACCCCCCACACTCAGGCATATTCTGCTCTTCTCTTCTCATTTATTCTTTATTCCAGCTGGATGTAAGTGTTGCTGTTACCTGCTGTGGCTCCCTCCCCAAGAACGTTTGCATTTTGCTCACATTTCTTCCTGGAATGTTTTCCCCCTCCTCCACTTCTTGGAAAAGCCTATTTCACCCAGATCCAGCTCTAATGTCCACTTCTCAGAGAAGCCCATCAACCTCTTTTGAGCAAAGTGGATCTGAGGGTTTGGACCTTACACTTTAATACTGACTAGACACTTTCATACATTAGTGTCAAATTCATCTGTGTCTTGACCCTTCAACCAGACTATTTTACAAAGGCGGGGATTATTTTTCTCTATCCTGGACTTTCCCAAGACAATTCTGTTCCCAGATCTGGTTCTTCCCTAAGTATATCAAGGATATGACAGGAAAAAGGGACAGTTTCACATTCACAGCCTTGCCAAAATCAGGAAGGGCCTTGATGTAGGTGGACAGAGGAAAGGCCCAAGGCTGAGCCATCTGGACAGAGACAGATTGTTCTCAGAGGTTAGCCCCTGAGGAGCACCTAAGGTAGGTAGCCTCTTAGGACCTAACCTCCATTCTGAGTGACCAATTCATCAGGCAGGGATGGGAAGATCAAAGGGATCATACCAGCAGGTGAAATCAACCTCATCTCCTCCAAGGTGAAGATAAAAATCCGGGAAGACAGAGCTGACCTCCAGAAAAAATGTGCTCATGAATTCATAAGTACTGTTGAGAATGGGATTCACTGGTCCAAAGGTGCCAGAGGGATGAGACCCAGAGTAGCAAGGAGTCAATAATCCAGGGACACCTAAGCCGACAGAGAATCCCACACAAGTGTCACAAATACATAGACCCCCACACTGTCATATACTTAAGGACATTAAGCTGCACAAAGTAAGATAATCATGTTCATAAACATTACACATACATAGGTAGGGACCATCAGGCACTCACAGACTGTGGTGATCATGAGCTTTTAGTCACAGTCAAAGAAATAAGTATATCCACAATCATAGACAGTCAGAGATGGGTTACTCCCAGAGAGCTACCAACACACACACTCTTGCCTTGACACACAGCAGGGCTCACCTTTGTTCCCAAAGGCTGCTCTCCTCATACTGCCTTTAGGCAGTAGAGAGAGACTGCCTGATCCAGCCAAACTGGCAAGACCTTTTCTTCCACTCTAGGGCACAACTTGCAAGAGCATCATTAAGACAAGAACATCTGAGAAGAATCTGCCCATAGTTTAATGGTAAGCAGTGGCCTCCTTTGTCCAAAGTAAGTTCTGCCTACCTCAAGTCCCAGGTGGAAGGAGCTGATGGAAAACATTCTTCCAGGGACCAAGGCCGGGGCATGCCACATCCAAGAGTCAATGCCCTGAAGCCCCACCGAGGGGGATCAGTAGACTCTATCTGACTTTATTCTTACCTGGTCCCCAGGACAGAGTGTGGCCAGGAGTGTCAAACTCTACCAACACACGGATACCCCGAAGTCGTGCATATTCAATCACCTCCCTCACATCCTGTGCCGTGTAGATATGGGTGGCAGGATTGTAGGACCCCTGAAAGGCACAAGACACCCTTAACAATGTCATTACCTGAAGGCTAGCAGAGTAGAAGATACTCAAAATGCCTCCAGGACTCATTGCATATCGGGAAATCTACCCACAGCTCTTTGGTATCAGGGACCATCTCCAAGGATCTTTATCATAATTTCCCATAAGCTAGCACATCTATTGCTTTACCTGAGTGTCATAATGCCAGTGAGACAACAAGGTAGGCTGGTAGCAGAATATAAACAAACAAAAAGAAAATGAGACCAGGAGAGATTATCTGTCAGAGAAAATTAATGGCAAAGTTTGGACTCAAACTTAGGTCTCCTGGTCCAAATCCAGTGCCCTTCCCCTAAGTTCGTGTGTCCCTCAAACTGGCTGGTGAGGATGAGAGCCAGTGTCCTTGACAGCAGGGCCACAGCCTGGCTCAGACATCAGCCCACAAACTTGCTCTTGGAGAAATTAAGACGTACCTTTCTGGTAAGCTCTGGAAAAGTGAAGCTGTCATATGGGAAAGAAGAGTCATCGACCAGATGCCAGTGGAACACATTGAATTTATTGTATGCCATGACGTCCTGTAGATCAGAGCACACACTGTGAACCCATCAGAGCTTCTCCAGTTTCAGCCTCAAACTTGATAAGGTAAGGCAGACTGGTAGGCTGCTCCACATACCCACCAGGCTCAATCTGCACCAGCTTCCTGATCAATGTTTATAGGGTCTATCTATCAAATCTTCCCATATCAGGGAATGCCTTACCATAGAGGGAAGGAAGACCTAGCACATTTCTTCTTCTCCTAGGGCACATCCAAAGACGTCTGACAGAGGCATTACCGCCTCCTTTTTAGCCACACTGAGAAGACAGCTGCAACTATGTGGTACCCTGGTTTTCCAAAAGCACCACCATGCCCTGAAGACTAATATGTCTTCCTGCCATTTGTTCTGGATTGTCTAACATTTATCCAAACTGTGAAGTCTATTGTTGAATTTAGTAGGCCCCATAATCCATAAATCTCAGAAGCCAAGACTGATGGATGTGTCCCCTCCTTTGGTTCCAGAAGAGGAACAAAGGGAAAGGTAGACACATGAGTTCGATCAGCAACTGTAAGGTTAAGACTGCCCAGCAAACTTAAGATAGTTAGGAACATCCTGAGCTATGGCTTTTGAACATCTCTCTCCTATGACCTTGTCCGTAACTAAGCTAAAATAAGCTTGGCTTGATCAAAGAAGCCAATTCCCCAAACCACCTTCTGTATTCCTGGAGATAACCTGGACATTGATCCAGAGCAGCCAATGGGGTAAATTTAAATCACTCCTTTTTTGTCTTAGAGCCGGTCATCTTTTCCATTTTCCCTAGGAGCTCATGAAGTTACATACATTCCCTCTCCAACGCTTTAGAAATATGGCAACTGGCCTACCCCTTGCCCCATCACCCCAAACACTAAGGGCAAAGATGGCCTTAAGGCCTGAGTACCAGAGTGTCCAGGATGCTAGTCAGTGGCAGGTAATGGCGAGACGTATCCAACAACAAGCCCCGGTGAGAGAAGCGGGGAAAGTCTTCAATCTCAGTCTTGTTGATAAAGAACTGTGCAGACCAAACATTGAACATATCAAGATTCAAAGGGAACTCACCATGGGGGTGGAGGGGAATGAGGAAAAGTCTCCTGATCCTTCAAAAGCCAATCTATGACTGTTCTGCAGAGCAACTATCTCCCCAAATGCCCCACATCTCAACTTCGGCGACCACAAAGAGGCACCTGTCAGAGGGTACCGGTCCTATGCTAGCCAGATATAACTGTCCCACACACTACTCAGCCTACATATTCTGGATTTTCACTGTTAATCTGTTTATTTTCTTCAAAGCAGTGTGGTCTCAAGGTCATTACTAAATAATGACGCAGGGGAACTAAATTACAGTGATTACAAATAGGCCAAATCTACCAAACTGGTTTCCACTCATGTCTCCTTCTAACTCTTGTTGGGGCCATCATGAGCCACCAGGACTCTGTCTAAGACAAAGTAAGTTATTCCCAGGATTCTCAACATTCGGAGCAAATCCCCAGAGGTATAAAAGGAACCCTTTCGGAGAGCCCCCACTCACCGTGCCCTCAGGAGATCTCCAAACAAGCTGGCTAAAAGTCTCCAGACCTATGCGGAAGTAGAGAGACAGAGTAAAGGCTTAGGGATTTGGGAAAACAGATGCACCCATTTGGAAGGTTCCCAACATGACAGAGGAGAATACCTGGGCACATGGTAAAAGTGGATATACTATGGGCTTGATGAGTCTCAACACGGATGCAAAGGGGATACTAGGAAGCCAGTATCTGTTTTTACTCCGCATTTTATTTTGGGCAGTGTAAGGGACTTTAGTGCCTCTCCTAGGAACATACTAACCCTCAAAATCCACATACCTCTTATCCATATTTCCTAAGCCTTGAACTCACAAGAGTATTAAGAGAAGCCAAGATGTCTGCTTATGAGTACAGATATGGGGACAAGCCAGCTCACATGGGTTAAGGCTTTCCAAATTAATACTGATCAGGAGCTAAGGGAGCTGAGAAAAAGGGGTCCTCAATCTACTGCCCCTTCTATTATCCAAGACTGAATTGTGAAAAAGTAGTCATAAGCTGAAGTTTCCAAGGAGCTTGGGTCCACAGCTGGACCACGAAGACCAAGAATCATCTACCTCTCCTCTTGAGAAGGGAACTAGCTAGAGAGAGCTGAGATATGGTAGGCAGCAACGGCCCCAGAAGGACTGCCCCAGACACAAACTCCTAGATTCTAGCAAGGCGCAAGGGTAGGCAGGCTGAGTCCAGAGTGTTCTATGTTCTCGACAGCTGGAGCCCCTCTTCTGAAAATCCAGAAGGATTTCCAGAGTCCCAAAATTTCCGCATGAAAGAATCTGAGGTCTTAGCGGTCACTTGGCACCTACTTCGAGGCACTCTGCTCTGACATTGTTTTGGCTTCTTTTCATTTTGATTCTGACACCCACATTTCTGGGGTCCCAGACTTCCCGCTGCCCCAACCCGACTAATCATAGCGCCTGCACAAAAGGTATAGAGAGAGCAGAGAAGGGAGTCAGCCCCTGTTTCTCCAAAACGCAGGAGAGGAGGAGAGGGGCGGTAAGGGAACAAAGACGAACCAAAACAAGGTCTCAAATTGTGACAATTTCCCTCCTCATTCACCAGCAGGGGCTTTGCAAAAGTAGGAGAGGTACTTGGCTAAGTCTATATCTAAGGACAAAATACCTTTTCAGTAAAGCAAGAGGAAGGGCAGAGGCCCATCACATGTTAGCTAGTAAAGTTCCAATTTTCTCCTGAAATACTATAGTTCTACATGACTTATACTATTTACTTCTTTTTGACATTTATCTATTTCTTGTGATCAAGTTTTCCTTTTTAAAGAACCTTTCCAGGGCGCCTGGGTGGCTCAGTTGGTTAAGCGACTGCCTTCGGCTCAGGTCATGATCCTGGAGTCCCGGGATCGAGTCCCGCATCGGGCTCCCTGCTCAGCAGGGAGTCTGCTTCTCCCTCCGACCCTCTTCCCTGACCCTCTTCCCTCTCGTGCTTTCTATCTCTCATTCTCTCTCTCTCTCAAATAAATAAAATCTTTAAAAAAAATAAAATAAAATAAAGAACCTTTCCAATTACATGTGTTTAGTGAGAGCCGAACAGGCAGTGTTTGTGGCAGAGTCCCAAGCAGCCTGTTCCCTGCTGGCACCCGGAGCATCAGACTGCAGAGTCTCTCACTGCTTCCCCAGAGCACCTGCCCAGGACAGCTGCTGCCACCATTGCACAGGCTGACACCTGCCAACTTCTAGAGACAGCTGTAAGGAGAACACGCCCTTCAGGGAGATGGGGAAACACTCCAATCGGTCTCATAAAGAAAGCTTCCTACACTGAAGGTACGTGCTGGGCCCCCAACCTTGTGCTCCCAACCCACCAATGCCAACCTTCCCACTTCATCCCTCTCTTTCTCTCCCAGCATCAGTCCCCATGTTACCTCGGAGAGCTCCCCAGACAGTCTCAGAGAGGAGGAAACAATGATCATCATTTATGGTCAGGGTGTCTGAAACGACAGGAATGACTCCATTGGTTAAGGACTTCTACTCTCAGATTACAGATCATATGCCCTGTGTAAATCCTTGGATTAAAAAACAACAGTAAGATCACATTTTTTTTTCCTTTCAAAGAGGAGATATCCCCAGAGCAGAGCAGCTGCAGGTCAGCTAGGCTTGGGTCAGAGTGGGAGGGTGGTCTCCCAGAGGCTCTGTGGGCCCTAGAAGATAATGCACGAGGGCCAGGCTAGAGAAGAAAAGTACCACCTGCCTTGTGGTTCAGTCTACCCCTCCAGAAGCATGAGTTCCTGCCAGCCCTTAGCTGAAAGTATGAGGCAGACAGGGATGCTTGGAGGGCGTGTCCAGGTTATGGTGTTCCCAAAGCCTTTGTAATCACCCTCCTTTCCCTTTGTCTCCAGGCTTCATATAGCTACTTCATCCAAGAATGTGAGGAGGAAGCCAAGACTTGGAACGTTCATTTTGGAGACTGAGAAGTTCCCAGATACTGCTGCTTAGGGAGGACAGGAGGCATCACAGGGCTAATGACTTGACTTTATTCAGTCATTATGTCCAAAAACATTATGACCAAAAACTCCTCTCCCCAGAGTGGGGTCTCTTAAAGAAAATCAGCAAAGGGTACAAACTCCTAAAACGGCAACAGAATTAGACACAGTCCAGAAGGCAAGTGTCCTGTGGGACTCCATGAAAAGCCACTGTGATGTTCCACAGCCAACCTTCAGACACTGGTTAGAGTGCATATGAAAAATTCACCTTCTATGGCTCTCAGCCCTTGATGACCCAGGGTCTTCTCCACAGTCCTGGAGGGCTGTAGGCCTAGCATCAGGAACTTAGGTCAGACCAACCAGAGTTACGGTCCCAGACAAGTGCTTGCTCCCTACAACAGGGAACAGGGTGGTACTTACAGTTTTCCACCGACTCCAAAGAAGGAAGCTGGTTACATCCAGGAGTGACCACAAGGATAACCAATGAATTCTTCTCCGGTGCATGCTGTTTTCCTGAAAGGGACAGGGTAAACTCAGTGTGGCTGACCTGCCACCAGAAGCGACAGGCAAAACCAAGGTGCTGCAGGAAGGTCCCTAAGCTCTAGTCCCTTCTGCTCGCATGCGTGTGGGAAGAGGCAAGGGAGGAGAGGGCATTTACCCTTGGCACAGGCACTGCCTCATCACCTGCTCAACTTTCCCATTTTGGTTGTGTTGCCCTCTCTCCCCAGTAACCTGCCCTGACCCATGTATCAATGATCTAGCAGCAGTTCTTTGTAACCAGGGCTCTATACTTCTAGTTTGGTACAGGAAGCATGATTCCAATACCTCAACAGCTGCTTCTAAACTAGAGGCAGCTTGAGGGCATTTCTACTCAAAGCGTGGTCTGCAGATTAGCTGCTGACTTGCAAACTGCAATACTGGTTGAAAGGAAAGGTACTGATAGATAGGAAGCTTATACAATGCCAGAATGTAAATCAATTATGTCAGAATAAACACACTGTTTAGTCCTAACATTTTTCATAACACATTTTTTTTAATGAAGGGAATAGTTTTACATTCCGGTGTGTGTACCTCTCCTCTCGCTGCAGACTCTCGCTTGAAGGAGCACTGTTCTGGAGGGCTCCAGGTAAAAGGTTTCCAGCTTTGTAAAAGCCCAGTAGCTGATGCAAGCAGATGAAGCAGATGACCAGAGGAGCTCCTACGCAAAGGAGGCCTGAGATCATCGAGCTGGTGCCCCAGCAAAGGTACATGGTTACCAGCCCATCCTGCTTCCTTCCCTCTTCCCAAACAGGCTCTCTGTCTGAGGCAGTCTTCTGCCCAACAGTGGAAAGCCACCAAGTATGAGCCAACATCTAGCATAGTTCTTCAGATGTACCCCACCCCCAAAAATACAGAGCCAAAGCCAAAATACTAATGCACCATCCCTTCCCATCCACCTAATGGTTCTTCTTTGTGACCTTCAAGGTGGTTCTGATTGTACTGCCCCAAACCTGACCTCAATGAACTCCTTCTTTCTATTCTTTTCTGGAACCACATGCATCCACACTGGCACCACAACAACCATGACTTCCTATGGAACCACAAAGTCAGGGATAGAATGGCCTGGGAAAAGGCAGGGAGAGAGGATTCAGAACAAAACTGGATCCCAAATGTTATCCATCTCTAGGACAAAAGTAACCCAAGAGCCTTGAGCCATTTCCAGAAAACCTGCTCAAACTTCCTGAGCACTACCACACGGCCGCATCTCAGCTTTTGGGCTTGCCAAGAAGCAGGCCAATAAGGCGCCTCTTTCTATCATCAAGAACAAAATGTATTCTTTCCCCTCCTTGTAAATATCCTGCATCCCACACTAATACCTACCTAAATCCTGCAGGGAGAAGGGAATTTGAGGCCACTCTGGGCCAGACCAACTCACAACTCCATTCTAAACCCTGAAAACTCATCTCCAACAACAGAGAACAAACAGACTGTCAGGGCAGAGACTACCCTCAAAGCAGAATCTGTAGGGCCCTCCCGAGCTCCCCAAGCAGAGAGGCCATCTCTACAAACCCCCAAGACCAAGGAGGACTTAACTGAGAGGTAGGAGCGAAGAAAACTATAAAAGAATATTCTTCCTTAAACTATGCCCTCATCCCTTGCTACCTTGCCCCCACTCCAATCCCATACATCACAGATCCCCAGTACCAATATGTGGAGAGCTCATCTGCATACTACCCAGGCGGCCATCCAAAAGCGGGCAAAGTCCCGAGCTTTAGCGTTAATTCCCTGGACCTCAGCCTACGAAATTGAGGAGAAATCACAACTATCCATGTGCAACTGCCACAGTCACTGTCCTAATGACATTTAGAGGCTGCACAAACACCAGGTTTATTTGAACTATTGCCTGGAACATTAAAAAAAAAACAAAACCTCTAACTTCTGTTGTTGCTAATATTTTTTTTTTCCTAAAACACACCTGCACTCCGTCCTCTAAAACCAGAGTCTTTTCGGGGGGAGGGCTGTAGACTCCTTACAAGATCTGATGAAAATAAAAATGAAAGGACTGTTTCCCCTAGAACAATGGCCCTAACTAAGGACTCATCCCTCCACCCCCTGCCTCTAATCTTATGGTGAAGAATCCCTGTCCAAAGCGTTCTCAGTGACTCATTTGGATTTGGGCTGATAAAGGAGGTAGAGTCATGGCTGCTATTTAAACAAGCCATGAGGGGGAAGGTCTGGGGGAGGCGGCAATGTGAGAACCGGCAAAATAGGAGGGGCACTGGGTCATTTAAAAGGATGTAAATAGCGTATCATCATTGTGGTTTTCTGCCTCCAAGTTGCTACCCTGAAGCAAGCAGGAAATAGGCAAGGGACAGGCCAGCTTCCTCCACACGCACCCACATGCTCTGCACTGGGAAGAACTGAGGTGTAGGAAGCATGGCATTGCACACTCACAATGAGCGCAGCTGGGACAACAGGAAATTCTGAAGCCTCAAGTGCTCAGGAAGAAGCATGGCAAACAGAGCACTGAGTTGGGAAATCAGGAAAGATTGGTTCTGGTTCTGCTGCTGCTAAGCTGAGCGAGTCTCAGGGCTCCCATATTCTCCCCTGCAAACAATGGCAAGATAGGACCACATTCCGGCTACTCCTCCAAAGAGGTAATACTTGGTGACTCCACACACAGATAGTATGCTCCAAGGTCCCGGTCCATGACCATTACTTCCTATCTCTATTCCTTCCCCATTCCCCTTTCATGTACACCCGCTCTTTTCCCCTGGTTTACTGAAAAGTTTGCACCTTCTAAATTTAGGAAAGGGAAAACATTCAAACAGTACAGAAGTGTTTACAACAAAAAAGCTAGTTACCTTTGGCACCCCTCCCCTTTCAGCATCATTTAGCCTACACAGACAGGTGAGCTCTGGACATGGAACTCCTGAGACCCTTTTTCTACCATAGTCCTGCTGTTGAACTTCCTCCAGATGCCAGTGCTATGACCCTTCTATTACCTTTCTGCTCTCAGTTCTCTCCCATCTTCACTTCCCTCCCTGCTGGCCTAGGTGTGCTGATCCATCACCTCAAACACAACCTAGCCAGGGCTCTCAGCAACCTGTCCTTTTCTTCTGCTGCATCCAGTGGATCAATTAACACCTGCCTTCTGTGCACCGACCCTGGCTACTGCATCCTACTGGAAGGAAGAGAGAAAATCATGTAACAGCAGGATTGGGCTGCTGTAAAATCATGGTCTCTCATCTTGGCTGGGCCCTTGATGCTGTGCCCTGAACATCTCCCGTCTCCACCATTGCTTTCTTCTATTCTCTGCAACAGCTTTTTTTTTTTTTTTTTTAAAGATTTTATTTATTTATTTGAGAGAGAGAGAATGAGAGAGAGCACGAGAGGGAAGCGGGTCAGAGGGAGAAGCAGACTACCCGCTGAGCAGGGAGCCCGATGCGGGACTCGATCCTGGGACTCCAGGATCATGACCTGAGCCGAAGGCAGTCGCTTAACCAACTGAGCCACCCAGGCGCCCTCTGCAACAGCTATTTCAAATTTGAGCCACTTTCTTCAAGTCTGTAACTCGATCACCACCACCCTTACTCTCAGTAGACAATCAAAAGAGCACTCCCATCCATCTCTACTTCTCCTCTCCTCCCTGACAAAAACACCTGCAACATACACCTGGTCTTTATCTTTGCCTCCTATCCTGGTGGAAGGGGTTTCCTTTCACCTGTGCTCTGGATCTCTCCTCAGTCTCCTTTTGTATAAATGATTTCCCTTTCCCCCCAAATCTTCCAATTATTTCTTTCTACTGATCCTTTCCCAACAGCATTCAAATATTTGCAAGTCTTCCTGGTTTCAACTCCATGTCATCTCCAACAGACTCTTTCTTCTGCCTTCTGGTCCCAAAGAAACTCCAGAGAAAATGCAGCCTAAGCAGTTAGGTGCTGAACTTCAAAGCCATACAGACCTGGGTTCAAATCTTAGTTTCAACACTTTCTAGCTGTGGGACCCTGGGCAAGTTATTTTCCCTCTGTGCTGCAGTTTCTTAATCCAAAAAATGGTGATCGTGATTGGTAACTACCTTACTGGGCTGTTGGGAAGATTAAATGAGTCAGCGCATGTAAAGGGCTTAGTCAGTGCCCAGACACAGGAGCTCATGGAGTTGGCCAACCGTAGTCCTCTCTTGGTAGCCACTTCTGACATCCTTATCTACTCCTTAGTCCACTATAACATGGCTTCCTTTTCCTCCACTCCTCTGCAAATGCCTTCACCAAGGTCCTGTGGTTCTACAACTACATTCAAGGGACCCTTTTCAACTCATTCTTCATTCATTCATTCAACAGTTATTTATTGAGTGCTTACTATATGCCAGGCTGTTCTAAGTGCTGGGGACACAGTGTGTCCCAACACAGTGATCAAAACAGACAAAAATCCCTGCTGTCCCAGAGGTAATATTCTGGTGGCCACTCACTTCTTGGGGGACCTCCTGGCAGCATCAGACATCCCTGATGTTCATGAAACTACACTCCCTTAGCTTAGGGGACACGTCTCTCTCTTGGTTTTCCTTCAAGCTCCTTGAATATGCTTCCTCATTCTCCCCTTCCTTCGCCAGCCCCTACGTGCTAATGTTCCCCAAAGTCTCTAGGCTTCTCTTTTTCTCTTCACTTACACTCTCCTTGGACAATGTCATCTACCCACAGTTGGTTGATGATTCACAAATCTACCTTTCCATGCCAACTCTTCTTCTGGGACTCTAGACTCATAGGCCTACACTCAAATAGCTTAAAAGCCCTTCAAATCTTAAATACTAAATTGAACTAACTCTTCATTCCTCTTCCTGGCTGATCTTCTCTCTCAGTTTGATAACAGTACCATCTATTGATTTATCCAGACTAGAAACCTCTTCCTTCCCTCATCTTTCTGAGATTAAAAATTCATGCCCCCATAATATTTACCGATGGCCTACTATGTGTCAAACACTGTGCTAAGCACTGAGATTACAACACTAAAAAAGAAAGACCCGACCAAGTAAGTCT